TCTTAATAAAATATTATCGAAATATTAATGAAATTATAATGAAATTTTAATGAAATTGGGTCAAAATTGTGAATGCTTTTCAAACATATTTCAGCAAAAGTTCATTATATTTTCAATGAATTATTTCCATCAGATACAAATATCTCAATTGAGATCTTACATGCGAAATTTTGCGGAAACCTCAACTGAGAATTCAATTGAGAATTTAATTGAGAATTCAATTGGGAATTCAATTGTGATCTCAATAGAAATTTTTCAGTAGGGATGTTCACTGTTTGCTGTTAATATGCTGCTCAGTCCTTGTCCCTTATTCCCATTAAACGAATCAAACAAATAATTGAAAAACGATTAGATGATAGATGTAGTTTCAGCGGTTTCAGAGAATGTCTTATTACCATACTGTGTTTTAACGGGTGTATATCAGTTGGACACGGGGCAATTGGACACAGTCCAATCACAAGTCGCTGTTCCAAGGGACCCTACAAATGTCTCTAATCACACGGTGCTGTGATTGGCTGTGTCCAAATGCACCGTGTCGAAGTGCACCGCTCCTGTTTTAACAACTCCTGAAATATTAAATGATAGGTTATAGAAAGTATATAAAAATCAATTGTTACATATTACGCACACAATTTAACAAATTATAAATATAATTCTACCTCCACTTAAATTTAGAAGTACGTCTATAAAGTTAGAAACTGTAGAACTTAAAACTTGAGTCGCATATTTTACTCTTATTTTGGGAATAATTTTAGGATAAATATGTTTATCCGTTAGTTTCGGCATTTGACGTAGTTTGAGGAAAGAAAATTTATCAATTTTATATGCAGTGATAACGTCATCCCAACAAGCATATTTCTTTTCTTCATGTGGTTTTATGTTTGTATTTGTTCATAAATCTTTTATGAGCAGATTATTTCTAATTCCTTTTATTAAGTGTACATAATCGAATACCGGGAAAATATGTTTTCCTCTTATAAAAAAGCTGTCTGAAACAAAATCAATTTTGTTATCGTTAATTGTAGAAAATTCTGTTTTATTATTTATGATTGTTAATAAAAATATTATTTAATAGTATAGTAACTGTACCTCTGTATCTTTTCCCTGTAATATTAATCTTGTTACTCTCGTCTATTAGAGCATTGATCGCTGCCACATTAGTAGCACTTTGGTCACATACTGTGGCTGCTGATATTAAGCATCCAATTATATGAAACAGCCATTCCTTTATACATCGTACTAGTTGATATGTCTTAGTACTACCTTCACAAAAACCATATCCTAGAGGCATCTTATTTCCTGTTTTTAGACATCGCAAATAAAAAGCAATAGCATGATCAGCAATTTTTCTTGTTCTCTTATGACCCCAATCTTCAAATCCGACAATCTTATCGTGCGCCTTATCATAAGTTAAAGCAGGCTGCAGAGATATTTCATCCCATATCAAAGCTATAAATTTTTCTCTTTCATCATGTATATCTTGTACAAGTTATTTTAAGTACTTAAGAATTAATTTTGTATAACCAGCTTGCGGGAGCGGTGCACTTGGACACGGTGCATTTGGACACAGCCAATCACAGCACCGTGTGATTAGAGACATTTGTAGGGTCCCTTGGAACAGCGACTTGTGATTGGACTGCGTCCAATTGCCCCGTGTCCAACTGATATACACCCCCAGCTTGCAAAGGGATGTTAGCAAGTTGAGAATTTAATGTAACAATTGATGGACAGAGTAAATATTTTGATAAGAAGTTATAAGCAGAACGGGACCTCTTATAAACTGAGATAAAAAAAAGTTTATCTTCAGTGCTATATCTACGAGCCTAAAACAACAAAACCAAATATAAATTACACATATTTTATAGGAAAAAATGAGTCACTAATAAACGATTAAAAAATATAAAAATATATTACTGCTATCGTGAATTGTCTGACAAATTGACTGCCATTATTTATTTGGTTATCTTATGTACAATAGCATATTATTTTGATACAGGGTGTTTACGATAATTG